AGTTGGGGGGCTGGGGAAGGGGGACTGTGGTGTTGTGCAAACACAGGAAAGCTGGGGGGACTTACCAGAGTAACTTGCAACCTTCTCTGCCGGCTTCCCCATTGACTTTGCTTGTGGGAAGCCGGCAGGGAAGGTCGCAAATGGCGATCATGAGAACATGGCTCCCTGTGATGTTGTAATTTTGAGCCAGGCACAAGTGCCAGGATTGCAATCAGGTGACCATGGGTACTGCCATGGCCAGAACTTTGAAGATTGGACATATGTCCATTTTTTCCAGTGCTACTGTAACTTTAAACAGTCACTGACCGAATGGACTTAAGCTGAGGACTACCTGTAGTTGGTTCGTGAATTCTTGAAAACAAGATTGAAACAAAACGAACTAAGAGTTGTACTGAGTGACTTACAATGTTTGAGCAAGTTTGTATTTGCACATATTTCATTTGTTCCCACCATTGTAAATGACTTACAGCTGAGTAGGAGAATTTCCACTGAAAGTTATGTGAGATAATATTACAACTCTTTATATATGTTTGATGCATGAAGGCTCATTCCTAAATGAATACACAGATGCAAAGCAATTATACTGTTATGGGATAGCTTATTGAAGCATGTAGAAGCAGTGTCATTTTTTCTAGTATCCCTCATGAACAGTAAAGCCATGAACAGTCATGAACAGTAAAGTCTTTGACCTCAATCCGGTATTTTTGTTTATTTGAAATATTTATGGCCTGTCCATATCCAGGGAATCTCATAGCTGATTACAATCAAGAAAAGAAAATGAAAGTAGAGGTTCTCAGGCAGAGAAAGTGGAATGCTCTTACAAAACTTTGCATAATCCCACAACAAAGCTGCATTAATTGCACAGTTGTTTTCTTCACTGAATTATATTCCAAGTATTGGATGACTTCTGTATAAAAAAAACCCCTATACTGATCAGATGGTTTGAATGAAGATCAAAGCATGTGTAAGCATCGCTGACAGAAGCTTACTTCCTCTCTTCCTGTTGCCCAGAAAGGTTCATCTGAAGGTCAGATGATCCTCCTGAATGAGAGGAAGAATGTTTGAAAGTAAGGCAGAGAGGCCTCTATATAAGTGGAAACATGATTCAACAGAGGTGACTAATTTTTAGTAATTCATGCTCTCTCTGTTACTCCCCTGCACTAGAATACATACCTTTTGTCAGAGTTTTAAAATGCTCAAAGAAACTTTGGGAGTGGACTACTGGAGGAAAGAACATGGAGCAGCAAATGTGTGAAACTTGATGACTGAAGTTAGCAGACCTATATCTTTGAAACTATGTTGTTTTGTCAGAAACATTGCATACATAATGACAGGATTGTTGCATTAGGTGGAGCTTGCCCTGTTGGACTGATTATATTATGCATATTTGTTTTTTGTGTGTGTATTAAAAATATTTGCGAGACACAGACAAAGAGTTTATAAAAGAGCAAGATCTCTGCTTATATAGAAGATAGAACATTTGATTATGCTGTTTCCATTAAGGTACACTGATGTATTTCAAAACCACCATGCTTTAAAAGGCTGAAAATATTAACATGTGCTGAGGAGAATCAGTTTGACTTCCAACTGAAAGCTGAGATAGCTAATATATCCTGTAATGTTTTTCATTTATACTACTGTATATTTTTATTTTCCAAATTAGTTCACAGTTGAACTGTAAATTTCTTGTCGTGGAGGTCTAACATTCATCTGGTACTACTGGGTTGCAGTTCCAGTACATATTAGTGAAAGAGTTAAGATCTGATACTGTTTAACGGTAGATACTTTAATTGGATTTGGTATTTAATTCTACATGGGCAAAAATCTTTTAACTATGCTATTTTTTCATGTAGCTAACCAGTTGCCGGCAGGTTTGATAACTACAGATGGCCAACAACAAAATGTCATGGTTTATACAACGTCTTATCAACAGGTATGGCATTTCCATTTTTTTCCCTTTAATTTTTGTTTAAATATTCCCAGTAGTCAGAACTTGGAGTACGAAAACGTTATTTCTAAGATCACTATAATAGACCCCACAAATAAATGTGTGTTTCTGGTCTAATTTTTGAACTTAATGCGCATTTGTTTTTTACTCCCTAGATCCCTGGTGTTCAGCAAATTCAGTTCTCATGACTTGAAGAAGGCTTTAGATCTTGACATATGAGAAGTATGAGCAAGGAATGCTAAAGGAAAGAGAACTTGAATTTGAATTGGCTGGTGAAGAAAGAAATGTCACTTTGTATATTCAATAGTTGTAATGTAATGTAGCTTCCTGAGGCCTGACTAATTGAGGTGTGAACTCTGATTCAAACCTTTTTTCATGAGTGATTTTAAAAGAAATTGGATTTTAAAGGTATTAAAATATTTTTTGTTTTGTACAAGAGTTTGTTGCTCTGTATAACTCCTGTATGCATTGTATATTGCAATTTACTACTGTCAGAGATTTGTAGACAGTTTCTTATTTTCATATTGAATCATGTTACTTTTGTAATTCAAGTAAACAGCTGGGTTTAATTCATGTTTACCCTTTGAATAAAACATAAGGGTACAGTTCATTTTGAATGCAAGTTGCCTTTATTATAAAAATTGAGATGACTTTTTGTTTTGTATCTGTCTTGCATGAACTAAAGTTGAATTAAATATTTATTAATATTTTAACTTGAAAGGAAATTCCTCAAATGCCCACAGCTCAAAATAAGTGCTCCCAATACTTTTAATGTAATAGTTGAAATAATGTGAATCCAGAAGTAACCAATCTTTAGATCATAGCATTATAACCTTGGGTCATAGTCCACTGGGAACTATTTTGCACAAGCTGTAAAAAAAAATGAAGGTGGGTTTGTCAGGAACTGTTGTCTTGTATGCAGAATTAGTTCTGTGGATTGTCTGATACCCAATATCAGTGTTAACTGTACCTGGTAGTGCAGTCCCTATTTTGCAACAACTAGAAGTATGTAGTAAGGGGATTTTTGTTGATCTTTTGACTAGGGATATTCATCTTGCTGCTTTCGAAATAAATTCCTTTTAATTTATGATTTCTCTTTAAAGAAGCCAGATTCTGTTTACTCAGTTGTGAGAGTTTGATACTTTATTGGCAGATTACCTTTTTACTTTAAACATCTACATGCTCATGATGTGTGGGAACTCAGATCTTAACAACTGTGGAACTAGAGGGGCATGCGTTTCCAGGGCTGCGAATGGAAGACTTGAGCATCTATTTGGCTGTTTCCTGTTGCTGCAATAAATTTTAAGATACCTAAAAAATTACTGTGATTTGTAGATGGATGGATAATAAGTGAGCAAGTGCCTTTAGGAGATAACTTGAGAACAAAATTGCTGATAAACAAAGCTTTGTCCTGGACAAAGACTGAACAAGAAAGGACTGCTGGATTCCAAAGCATGAAGAGAAAAACATGGAAATCTGATGCTCATCCCTCCATGGGAACTGGTCTTTATTTTAAACCATGATGGCCAAAAAACCCCCAAAACCCTAGATGTATATGCATTCCAACAGAAAAACAGAAGCCTCACTTAATTTTTGCTCAGCAGTTATATAGTCCAAGATTGCTCAAGAAAACAACACCAATAGAGAAAGCATCTCCCTAATTATCCATAATGGGTAATGGAAATTAATATACGTTTTTGTTTTCAGAAAGCTGTAGATACAGTGCAGTAAAAACAATTGGATGTGGAAGAATCTGAAAAGTTGGAAACTTGGAATGCAAATTGCCAGATTGATTTCCTAGAATGTTTTAATTTAATTTTATTTAACTTTGGCTGTCATTGTTATGTTTATCAGAATTAACTCCTGATTCACTTTGTATGAAATCTCTCAAGTTAAGAAAAAAGATTTGGAAAAATGTTGAATGACAAATTACCAAACAATAGAATTTAAGCCATTACATTGTACAACACAGGCTTCAAATGAAATTAAAGGAAAGCGATCCAGAAAGGACACATATTTATAAAACTACCAAACAAAATAAACACGCTCACATTTGTAAATTTGTAGTACAGTTGTTAAGATTAAGGCAGTGGAGATGCAAATCTACTTGTGGCCAAAGAAGCTCACAGGATGACTTTGGGCCACTTACTCTTAGTTTAACTTACTTCACAAGGTGGTACTGGGGGAAAAAATATGTTCCCTTGAATTCCTAGAAGAAAGGGGGGGAAATATATCTAACATTTTATGGGTTCTATAGCTAAACATGGGTTTTATGATACATATTGTAACTATCAGAATTACTGTACTAATGTTTAGTATTACAATATAGCATATAATTGAGAAGCAGGGAATAAACTATGCAGAACAATGTAAGAGTGATGCACTATACTAATTGTATTCTAACCTGTGAAAAGCTTATACTGTGATCTTTCAGTATATTTGCAGGAGCCTAAGATATTGAGACAATATACAGTATAATAAATAGCTGTGGTAAAAGGCATGCAGTTACTCTATATTTGAGAGGGAAATCACTTGGAATCTTGCATAATACTTTGAATTTCAGAACCAAAACAGTGGGATCCAAAATACATTTCACAACTTTATAGATAAGATGCAAAGTTGCACAAAAGCTATATATTCTGAGTTAGAATTCTGAGTGCCCAGTCCTTATAAACACTGAACTTCTTGTGTTTTAAATCTCCATTTAAGAAATGAAGCAAATCTGACATATCTACTTTTGTTAAACCTCAGATGTATTTAAACACTTTACATCTACTCCCACAGTAGCCTAATTAGATTTGTTCACGTGATTCATGTTGGCATAATTATAAAGTTTTATTACTGTATACTTAAAAATCAACCCCACATCTAATCTTGTTTTCCCTACACTAAAGGCAAAATAACATCAGAATGCTGCAGGATTTAGCTTCTTAAGACAGTAAACTCCATTTTGCAATGTGAGTACATGAAACTAAATGTAATTACTACCATTGAAAGTTGCACTGATTCAACTTATTCCACAGGTTAAAAAAAGAGAGGTAAACGTTAGGACAAATCACTTTATTACAAATAACGATGCTACTTTTATTATAGAAAATATTGGATTTCTCTCAAGAGCATTTCAGCTGCAGACCATAAGACCATAAATAGCTGGCTTTAACCATCACTTCAGTATTCCAGTTAACTGTGGTATCATTTTTGTTAAAGTCTATGGTTTACTGATACAGCCTACTTCAAAACTATGGTCAAATATTGCTATAAATCATACATAACAATGGCTGCATTCAGATGGTCACATTAGTTTAGTAAACAAGTACACATGGCCTATTTTTGCTCATTCTTCTGTATCTTCTTGAGTAATTACTCAGCACTTTTTACAATACTAAGTACTGTATTTTACTGAGTAGTCAACGGGGAAAACTAGTTGTCTCAAACTGACTGGTGTATCTCATTTTACCAAACAGCCAGTGTATGAGTACAAGTTTTAGAACAAATCAGTCTATGAAACCATGAAGCTGACTTTCATACTTTGGTTTTATTCTAAAACTAGTGAACATTTTTTTTTTGGTTAATTCAAATTGTAATCTGCACGCATAGGCAAAAGGCTTGTTTGCATCAGCTTATTAAACAGATATATGACCATCTGAACCATGCCAAATGTTTATTCACAACCCATGTCACACACACAAAGAAATCCCCTTAAGTTGAATTGATGAAGTATGCTATAAATAGCAATCAACTTTTCTATTTATAAACTTTCATACTAAGTCTATTATTGAAGTTGCAACAGGATGGATTCATTTATACAAGATGTTATACATGTATTTACAAAAGCAAGCAAAAAGAACTACCAGTTTCCCAAATAGTCTGATTTTATATATACTTTAAATGAACTTAGGTTGACTCATTTATCCAAATATATCGATACTTTTAAACAGAATAGGCTTCAAATATAAATTTTATAGTTCGATGAAATACAATTTAAGTGCTATTAAGAGAAGCAGGCCGCAAAAATAGTTACACAATGTATGGGAGAGGCTACTGAAGAAGTTACACGCTTGTTACTAATCTGGTTCCATATATGGGAAACTGTTGAATTATGGCAAATCATAGTAGCCTATTGGCATAAGCACATGTACACTGAATCCCATGTCTGAATTAACACCACCACAATTTTACCTTTGGTAATCATGACATACCCTTAAAACAAGTGCAGAAATATATGAACTCAAAAGTGCAAAAATACTCACAGATATACTCAACAGATCATATTGTTAAGTAATGTATCTACAATCAAAAGTTATTAATAGCCATATAATAATTCTCACATTCTGTCACAGTGGGCCTCCCTAATTCAAAAAGTTACAGAAAACAAAACACTACCGCTATTTTGAGTGTGTTCTTAAAGGTACTTCTCTTTGACCTTGTGACCACTGGGATATCTGAATTCAATCCAGAGTTGGAAGTGTGTGGCAGGTAAGGTGAAAGGAAGCACACTGCTTGTTATGACAATTCAAGGAAGAGCTGAAATACTCCTAGCAACCAAAATGGACCTCCTCAGGAAATACTACCTTCAGCTTTGAAGGCGGTATTTACAGAAATTTTCAGAAGTTTCCATTTCACAGTACTAGTTAAAACAATCTAATGTATGCTATACTCATTGTAGCTTGAGTGATTTTTAACTGCTAAGAACAACCAGAATTGTATGGCTGCAACGTAAATTTTCTCTGGGGTGGTTGTTACACATTTGCCTTAGGAAAAGGTACATATCATAAGGTGCATGAAAGAATATGTTAGTTTCACTCTGGGCATCTGTGTCATTACACCATGAATAGACACAGTGTTGTATAGGTAGTATAACTGACGTCCCACCCCACCCTCTTTATATCACATTGCAAACATTTATCTCCGAAAAACCCAGTAAGCAAAAGGTACTGTCAGCTGTCACTAACATATGCAAAAGTCTGTTGATGTAACTTATTCCCTTCTTAGAAAGTAGCCAATAAAAAGTGCTACTTAATTTATTAGCAATTCAAGGAGGCTTTTAACATGTATTCTGCTGTAAGTTTTTTTTATGGCATTACAGATTGTGCTGCATCAGTGTAACTATTGTAAAGTTGGAATTCTACTATCTTAAGGCGGCTTTCTTCACCTACCACCCTCTTGATGTCGCAGGACTGAAGCTTTTAGCCACTATTCTGGAACTTGCAGTCCCAACACCTCTGAGGGTACTAAGCCACACGTCCCTATACATCAAACTGTTTGCAGCTGTTATTTGAACAAATATCTCCCTTGGAATATTAGTAAGTACTGGGGATGAAGTTGGGGGAGCTAGGTTCTAATTCTATACAAACCATGAACTCACTGGGATTATGCTAAACCAGTTTGTCAAAGCCATAATGGTCTGTCTGCCTTGTAGCAAGCCATAAACCATACAAACCACAGTGGTTTGGTTCATATATCACAAGGGATAACCAAGCCAATCATCTGATGGTTTACTGTAATGCAGGAACCTAGCCAAAGCAGACTTTCTTCAAGTGAATTTCTCCCAGTTTCTCTATCTAAAAATGGATTACAATGGGCCTTCCTCAAATAAGTTTTGTAAATGTGAACATGGAATGATAGTAAAGCATTAGTATTACCATAATCCACTTTAAAATTGATCCTTGCAGATCAAGTAATTCCCATCTTAATTCTTAGGCATTGATGGAAAACTGAAGTGCAAAATATTCATTCTATTGCACATATGCACTAAATCAGGTTTCAAAATAGAGATTATTTTCTTAAAAAATCATTTTATTTAGATGCCAAAGGATGCAATCCACAGGAACCTGTATAAGGTCCACTCAAATTAATGTAAAAAGCACTACTGTTCACAGAAATGTTCCTGTGGGATGGCATCATTAAGCTATATTCACCACCTATATTATATACTGGCACAATTTAGCCACTTTATGCTATAATATGATAAACAACTATTAATGTATAAAACAGCATCTAAATGCCTCTATTTAATACACTTGTGTGCTTAGGAACAAATTAACATTCCTAATAAGTGCTTCATACATATTTTTGCTACATAAGGTGGTAAATAAATGTGCACGCCGGCATTTTGAGCATTGTCTAGATGACTACTTTTCGGTGCATCTGCACATTTTTGCTCTTCCATGTAGAAAAACTGTGAAGGGGAATGAAGCAGCTGGCACATTATTAATAACATGATTAAGATAAAAATATTAAAGATTCCAATATTAGGATATGAAACTAAGGCAATTAACAAAATAAAATCCCAAGCCTTTGACAAAAGTCATGAACAATGTGTGTCAGAGAAGCATGCAAAGATGTGCAAATCTGCTTTAACTTTAGACCATTTCTGGAAGCAACACAAAAATGTTACAATTCTTACTAGTGCAAAATAGCATGATTATACCAAAACAAAGCATAGAATCCTTTTCTCTTTTTTCTTCTTTCTTTCGGGGGTGTGTGATGCATTCATTATGGAACACTTTTGTAAACGTTCAAACTTTGTACAGATTTTAACATTTCTATGCCCATGACAAATTAATAGTAGTGCATTTACACAGAGTATGCTTTTCATAACAGAAGTGACTAGTTTAGCAATTTGCATATCAGGATATTCTCAAAGATTAGAATACGTGTTTGTAAACACTAGAAAAATCTTTACAAAAATGAATATATTAAAATATTCTATACATTTTAAGTTACTGTAAACTGAAGTATCTTTGTTACACGAAACATGGATACAAAATATAAGCCAGAGGAAAACAAATCTGCATATATATCAAATTCAGGTGGAACAGGAGCAACATCTACTTATTTTTGATTTGTCATACTTTTTGGACTGCATTTGCCGCAGTTTGTATATCTTTAGGGTTCTACCTTATAATGTCATTGTGTCAAGCCAAATGGTCAGAGTTTGCTGGAAGACCTGTACTGACCTGTGGCATCACATCAACTTTGCCTTCATTGCAAAATGAGGCCATTAAGCTATGCATTATGGGTAGCATCTAAAAATATGCAGTAAAATTCTATGCAAAACTGTTCAGAAATAAGCCCTACTGAGCTCAATGGGATTTATACCCATTGCACAGGCCAGTTTTTTGCAGCCTGAGTTGCACTTTTTTCTGAATACTAGAAGACACAGGAATCTTGACAGTGAAATTGCCAGAAGGATGATGGAGAAATTTTCAATCTGCTTCTCAGGTGGCAGGTAAGAAGGTGTTAAAGCACTATTTTAGCCCTTATCTTTACAAACAGCCATGAAAAAATTGCACTATCAAAAATTAACAATTTCTTGCTGAATGTTGGTAAGCACTGTGTCTTGATGCTACACAAATGGGGGCAACATTGCTGTGTGGGCCTGTAGATTGTGCACAATTGCAACTTGAAGTGGATGAATACAACAGGTTGACCGTGGTGTCCACCAAAGTGACTGAATATAGCCTCTGCTTCTTGAAGAAGTTGTTCATCCTTGGGCTGGCCATCATGTTAACTAAACAGTCTTTTAATCTCTCATTGGATAAAATCCCCAGTGCAACAAAGCCCAGCATATGCTGTCTCAGCACAAAACTATAGTTCACTCTACAGAGATGGTTTTCATATGATGGCTTTCCTTCCCTCTAAGTCATTCCCACAAATACTTTTGAAAACATGGGAGTAATTAGGCAGGGAAACAAGTGTTCTCTTGTTTGACAAGGATACATATTGCCTTGTTTTCTAATTTTTTATAAGGCTGATGAGGCTCATACCCATGAAGGAAGCTGTACATCAAAAGCAGCCCTATGTCACAAAAATGAACTTAAAAAAGGATAAGACAAATCACATTTCTCAGAAATAGTTACTATTGTAAAAAGATGACTCAATCAACCAACATTAATTATAAGAAGGCCATTATTATGCTGTTGAAAACCAAATAATTCACTTTCAGCATCTCTGATGCTATATATTTACTGCAGTCTTCAAACAGCTCATACTGCAATAGCTTTACAGACCATCATCCACAAGGGTGTGCACACAACCAAAGTTTTGGGGGACCCTCTCATTAGCTCCCCAAGCAAACCTCTGAACTCTATTTTAAACATTTCTAGATCTGTCCTGAAAACAATTTAAAGAGAAATCAGTATATTTAAAACACATTATTCTTCCCCCTCCTCTGGTGAATTTCTCTTTAAGCAATTTTCACAACACATCACCAACTTGCTTTTTAAATTTAATGAAACTTAAAACTGTAATTGAGCATCTATGTCTAGGAACACAAAAAGCCTTAGTCAGACCATAATCTATTTCAAGATTGTCTACATTAATCAGGAGCAATTCTCTGAGATTTCAGACAGGGCCTTTCTCAACCCTACCTGGACTAGCCAGAGATATACCTTGGCACCTTTCACATGCAAGGCACATGCTCAGTCATTGAGCTATGGCCCTTTCCTACCTGTTGGAAGCTAACACAACTGGGGATCTGTGTGTTACGAGATATTGTAAGGAAGACTCTCCAAAAATTCAGATGATTACATAACCCTCTGGATAGTAGCCAGCGACCATGCTAGATAAAATACTATGAAAAAATGTGGTCACTATAGGCCAGTTTTCAAGACTGCTGATGCTGTGAAGTCAAGCTGACATAAAACGAAATATTTGGAAGATTCACAAAACTTCAAGAGTACTAACTGCTAATTCACAATTTGCAGTATAATATCCTGCTTCTATTTCGAGCTTGATGTTTTCATTTCTGTAAGGAAAGAGAAAGTTTTGTTACATCTTCAACCATTCAGGACAGACTTTCCATAAAATTACTTTATAACCTGAGGACTGACTTTATTCCTGACCATCCAAATGAAACATTGTGTGCCAAATTGCTCACCAATGCTATATACTTTGAATAAAATAGGGATAGGCAACCTTTTGGTAGTTATGGGCCACATATGATTTTTTTGGTAGGGCTAAAAACTGTGGTAGCACGGCAATTATAAAAAATAGGCAGAGCTACAGTATATACATGGCTAGGACCAGAATGTTTATTTTGTAGTTAGAGGGAGGTTTTTTTTATAATTTATGTTAAGCTGATTTTAGGATTCAAATTATAGTTTTGGTGTGTTTCCAATCCCAAAATGATGGGAAACTCTGCTGTGGATTTTCAGCAACAATTGTGTGTTATGCATAGCCTTGGGGCTACAAGTTACTAAAAGGAGGCAAAAAACCAAAAAAGGCTGATCATCTACTGAAGATTGGAGAGTTGATTCTGCATTCACCCTCTAAATCTAAGATTTAATATGGAGTTCATGTGTTAGCAATTAAGACAATATTGATAAAGTGATGGATCAACCCAAAGGTCCTCCTAGTCACCAGATGGCCAAGCAAATGCATTCAGGAAGTTTGCAAGCACAGGCAGGAGGAGGAGAACCTTCTGCCACTGTCACTTTCTAGCAGTCAGCATTCAAGGCATGCTGTCTGTGATATTGGATGTAACATATAAACATAAATACTAGTAGCTACTGTTAATGCAATCTACTTTTAAAACCACCCACACTGATGGCTATTGTCAGTTCTAATGGCAGCAAATTGTATAGCTTAAAAATGTGCAGAGTAAAGAAATACTTCTTTTTATCATTCCTGAATCTCCCTGCTTTTAGTTTTAATGGATACTCCTGAACCCCAAGAGAAAGGGTGAAAGGCTACTCATTATTTATCTCATTATTATCATCTACATAAATGTCAATACTACCTCAAGTGCATCCATTAAAACTAAATATAAAGCGGTTAATGAATGATAAAAAGAAGTATTTCTTTACTCAACTCATACTTAAACATATATAGTTTATACACTTTTGTCATGTCTCCCATTGCCTATCATTACTCCAGGCTAAAATACAGCTATAATCTTTCCTCATGAAGAAGGTGTTCTCGAGCCCTAAGAAGCAGTGTGTAGATGATCTCATTCTTCTATAGAGCAGTTAAGAAGTTTTTTCACAAGGAGTAGTCCACTGTTGATAGACAGGTGTTCTCCAAGTAAGTTATTGCGGTGTGCTACGTATGAATCTCTAGAAATCCCTGAAGGAGTGGAGGCAACTGCTGGTAGTCAAAGAGACACAACTGCCCCCACCTGCAAGCTGTATTAGCAGACTTGCTACATGGAGTCTTAATGTAGACTTATTTGATGTCTATAGCAACCTGCTTCTGTTGGTTAATTATCTGAATAAAGAAAGTTTGTCAAGACTCCTAAAGCTACAATATATAGTAGTGGCTAAATTTGAAAATTTGTCAAATATATTCCTGAAAAATAAGTTTCCACATATTACTGAGAAAGATTTGATGAAATCATTCATTTTACCTTGGAGCCATCGAACCTGTGTGGCCGGTCCATATCCCCTCTCATTCTTGGCTGAGATCCTGAACACTATGGCAGGCTTGGACGTGTGATCAACATGAGCATTTGCAAGCTGGGCAGCAGTCACTGTACATGAGGTCTTAAGGCCACAATAGATTTTCATGAACATAAGTTGATTAGGATTTTCGTGGAGTTGGGTGGTTCTTATTGCCAAATAGGCTGAATATTCCAAGATATTTCCTGAAGGTGAAACTGGAGGCTCCCATGAAAGATGAATACAGTCTGCACTCTAAGGAAGAGAAGACTCACTTTACAATTCTAGAGAGAAAACTGTAATTTTGTTCTCTAATTTCAGGTATGTGCAGATTAGTTAAAGTTGCTCAATACTGAGCGAAAAAACTCAGAAACACTAGCCAGTTCATACGCTGTACTAAGCCATAATGTGGCTTGGTGATTTCTGGCTTAACAAGTTGTGAAAACTCAGATCAAGTCTGCAAATGTACTGTGTTTCTGACTTACTGTAATCTGTGAACAGAGCAACCTATGGTTTATTCAATAAAACATGGCTAAATAAAACAGGCTCTACATGATATGCCAATCTGGAATTAAATAATGTCCTTCAAAATAGATATGTTTCTACCTAAGATAATGAGATTTTACTTGAGTATTCGAGTTATATCTCTAGTAATCCTGTAAGGTAGTTATTATAATATACTATATACATCTAAGGATCTAGATCTGAAAATAAAAATTAAGAAAAATTACATCTTGACCAAGGTTGCTTAAACATCTAACCTGAGACTTAACAGCAAAATTTTCCCACTAAGAATGAATATTGTTAACCCTTGCATCAAAGGTCTAATGTCCACTCAGATTCTCCTTTTTGTCAACTCAAAATTGCTTGCTTTTCTCAAAGTAATATTTTTATTTAGTTGTATTTTACCTTTGCTGGCTTTTTCAAAGTTTCCATGAAACTTCTATAAATGTTAAAATCTCCTGTTCAGGTTTACATACACACAGAGGGAGGGAGGGAGGGAGGATGGATGGATTACCTTGCTAATTTTCACAATTGAAGGTGCTCCAGGAAATCCAGGGATGCAAGTCTTAAATTCACTGACTTTGCTGAAGGGCCCTACACCACATCCATTAATTGCAGCAACCCTGAACCTGTATAAAGTGCCAGGAGCGAGATCCTGTTTCTTAAGTACACTGTCATTTGGAATATCTATACTGTCTCCCTAAAAATAAACAAACATGAAGACAAATAAAATATTCATTTGCTTTTTTAAACACAGATCCTAAAGACTCTAGTATGCTCTAGATTAAATTTCCTATTAAGGAAGACCTTTCCAGCACAGCCACCTATTAAGCAAAAACAGCTCTGAATGCTTTTAAGATCCACCGTTACGAATGGGAGAATGGAACATATGATACAATCTCGCCCACCCTGGCAAATGAGACTTACGCGTGCTTAATTTCGGAACGCTATCCAATGATCAAAGTACGCAACACAAAGCCCGAATGCTAACCATGCCCCTGAACACCTTGGTTGGGGTTCCCATAAATATATAAAAGGTGTTATAAAACTGAATATGTTAAACACATGATTGGAGCATAGTCACATTAATGATATCTAATGTTAATCAAGATAAATGACATTGAATTTAGGTTTTTATTAGCACTGCCCACTATTTTTTGGAGAGTGATTCTTGGCATGCTAAAAGCCAATGCAACTCTCTGTCTTGGAAAAATTGGGTGCCCAAATTCAAAAAGGAAAGGATCTTAAAATTAACTGGTGACAGAAAGGAACTACAGTGGTACCTCTACTTATGAACGCCCCTACTTACGAAATTTTCGAGATACGACCAGCTCCGAACTACAGTGGTACCTCTACTTATGAACGCCCCTACTTACGAAATTTTCGAGATACGACCAGCTCCGAACTACAGTGGTACCTCTACTTATGAACGCCCCTACTTACGAAATTTTCGAGATACGACCAGCTCCAGCTCCCAAAATTTACCTCGATGTGCAAACTCCGCCTCGAGGTACGGCCATTTTTCCACCCTGACACGTGGTCCGCGGCCATTTTTCTGTCCCGACACGTGGTCCGCGGGCATTTTTCTGCCCCGCCGCGCGGTGCGCGGGTGTTTTGCCGTGCCCGACGTGCGGCGCGTGGGCGCTTTTCTGCCCCTGACGCGCGGTGAGTGGGCGTTTTGCCGCCCCGCCGTGCGCGGGCACTTTTCCGCCCCTGACGCGTGGGCATTTTGCCGCCCCGCCGTGTGGTGTGCG